CCATTCTGGCACACCGGGAGCTCCACCGACGGCCCCAGTGGCTGCGTTCGCATGCGCCCACAGCACCCATGTTTGCACACCTCACACACTTCGTGGCCCAGTAGGGAGCTCCACCGACGGCCCCAGTGGCTGCGTTCGCATGCGCCCACAGCACCCATGTTGGCACGCTCTTCACACTCTTCGTGGCTCCATAGGGGGCTCCTCCGAATTCGGTGCACACATCGACGGTATTCACAGCTGCATATGGTTGGGTCCCTCGACAGGCGAATTGCAGATTTAACGAAGACAACAAATTTAGGGTACATCAATTTTGTGAGTGACGTCCGATCGCATCATCATTTTACCCATGTCTAATGCTGCCGTTTCGGCTCAGGTACTGGAAGCAGGTACAGCGCCTGCCCGCGGCGCATGGGAAAAGGGATCGCTGCCCTCTCCCTTGCCTTCCTCTATCTACGGCAATTCTTGTAAGTTCGACTCTTCGGTCGTCAAGCTACATACACACATTCTGTAGTCCATACCCTAATCGACCACCCCCACCCCGTCAGAAACTCCTCGTCGCAGTGGCCGGGCCCGCCCCGTCGCCGCGGCCCCATTGGTCGCCGCGGTCGGGCCCGCCCCAGAGCTCCAGGTATCGGACCGATCCCTGGGGCGGGCCTGGGGATCGATCGGTGTGGGTTAATAGCTCGGGGCCCGCGGGCCCCGGAGAACCGCACGGGTCCTGGACTCCCCACACTTGTGCCTCGCGTAGTGGGGCGGCCATAAATGAGGGGGGGCAGCGAGGGCTGCAGAAAAAGACGCTTTTCAGTAACCCTAAAAGGCCCTTTGACGGCCCGAGAGGGGGCCTTGAAGGCCCGAGAAGTGTTCCTTGTTTTCCCCTCGTTCATCGCCTCCCACTAAGCGACGCCAAACAAAACCTTCCAATCACCCCACCTCTCCACCGACTCACCAAACTTCGCGGTCACCGCGCCGCTTTGGGGCTCCCATGGCCGATGTGCGGGGGGGCGGGCCTGCGCCCCCGACTCTGGGCCCAGTCGAAGGAGGCAGAAACGGCGGGGGCAGACTTTGCCGGAATCTCGCGCGGATTTCTCGCGCTGGCATTGGGGTTTCGTGCTCTGGCACGCGAAGCGCGCCAGGGGTGGCGCCGCAGGCGCCGCCATGGGGGCCCGGCGCCGACACCGAAAACCCCGCGGACTTGCAAGGGCCAATTCCGTAAGCAGTGCTTGCGCCAAGGTGTTTTAAGTTGTTGATGACGAGTGGGTGGGTTTGTCGAGGTTTCGCTTGGTGGGTAACTACCCGTGGGCGGTTTCCGTTGTCTCCCAGATGCGTTGGTTGGGTCTGCCGAGGTTTCGCCTGGTGGGCACCCGTGGACAGCTGTGGGCACCCAGCGTGCTGGCTGGGTCAACCGAGGTTTCGCCTGGTAGGCGACCGTGGGCGCCTCCTCGCCACGCCATTGCTTGCTTGCAGATGGTTTACACAGCAACGCGTTGCACACCACGGAGTTTGCACCGCACTGCTTCCAGTACGTTCCTCGCCACCACACTGTTTGCACCACACAGTCATTGCACCGCATTGCTTACAGCGCGCATGTAGTGCACCACGTAACATGCACGACTCCACAGGAAAACCGCAATCATTAATCATTGTGAAGGCCTTACGGCCGGTGCCGCCGACCCTGAAGACGATGACGAGGATGACAAAAAGGAGGAGGGGGGAGTAGCAGGAGGAGGAAGCGGAGGACGCGGTCGAGCAGCAGGAGGGGGAGGAGGATGATGCGCAGGAGGATGAGGAGGGGGAGCAGGGGCAGGGGTAGGACGGTGGGGGAAGGAGCAGTAGGAGGACGAGGATAATGGGAGTCGCAGGAGCAGGAGAAGAAGGAGGACGTGGAGGACGGGGAGGAGGAAGGGCAGGAAGAGGAGGAGGAGGAGGAGGAGGAGGAGGAGGATTGACGAGGCCGAGGTACGAATTCGGAGCACGGGGGAAAGAGCATGCAGAAGAGTGGGGATCATGATTAGGAGGATGATCAGGAGGATGAGGATGATGAGGAGGATGATGCGAAGGAGGGGGATGTGCAGGAGTGAAAGGGTACGGAGGAGGAGGAGGAGGGAGAAAAGAAGCAGGAGGAACAGGAGGAGAACGCCGTGGAGCAAGACGGGGAGGATGAGGAAGAGCATGCGGAGGAGCATGCGGAGGGGGAGTTGGGGCAGAAGGAGGCTTCACGGGGGCTTCTTGGGGGCGTCTTGGAGGCCTCTTGGGGCCTCCTGAGAGCTTCTCGGGAGCGAGGACTCGAGATGTCCGTTCGGGTCCCCCGTCTGGCTACCCTTTGGGAGCCGTCTTGAGTGCCTTTTGGCCTGTCTGCGAGGGGTCTCGGGCCGTCTTGGGTCCCTGTTAGCCCATGTTGGGAACCTCTTGGGGGACTCTGGGCCGTCTTGGTGCGATCTTGGGGACCTCTTGGGCCGTCTTGGAGCGTCGGGAAGCAGAACAATCGAGAGAATCCTTCAAAAACGAATGGAAGTAAATGAAATCTCGCGTCTTGGGGCCTTCTTGGGAGTGCTCCTGGAGGCCTTTTGGGGCGTCCTGCAGGCCTCGTGGGCCCTCAAAGCGTCTCGGACAGATCGCTCGGCGATTCGGGGTCTTCTTGGACCGTCTTGGGGATTTCTTCGAGGGGCACCCTTGGCCCGACCTGGAGCTTCTGCGGGACCCGGCCCCCCCACCCCTCAGGCCAGACGGAGGCTCAGCTGGGTGGCGACCCACCCCGGGGCCCGCCCCGGGACCTCCCCCATGGGGGAGTCGTCTTTCCCTCGCCCCCCCCCCGGGACCCCTCTTGGGCCCCCCCTCTCCCCCGACGGAGGAGGAATCAAAGGGAGGGGGCGTCCCTTCGAGGGAATTACTGCGGGGGAGGGATCTAAGGGAGGGGGCCTCCCCTTCGATCGCGTCACGACGTCAAGCTCAATTTCGCTGTGGCTGGCGCGCTTGGGGAGGAGGGCCCAGAAAAACGGGGGGAGCTGCGACGGGCCCAGGGAAATGGGGGCCGCAGGGAAAGGAGCTGGCAGAGACGACGACGCACGAACGGACAAGCCCATCACACACGGAGGAGGAGGAGGAGGAGGAGGAGGAGGAGGAGGAGGAGGAGGAGGAGGAGGAGGTGGAGGAGGAGGAGGAGGAGGAGGAGGAGGAGGAGGAGGAGGAGTGAGGAGGAGGAGGAGGAGGAGGAGGAGCAGGAGGAGGAGGAGGAGGAGGAGGAGGAGGAGGAGGAGGAGGAGGAGGAGGAGGAGGAGGAGGAGGAGGAGGAGGAGGAGGAGAGGAGGAGGAGGAGGAGGAGGAGGAGGAGGAGGAGGGGGGGGGGGGGAGGAGGAGAGAGGAGGAGGAGGAGGAGAGGGGAGGAGGAGGAGGAGGAGGAGGAGGAGGAGGAGGAGGAGGGAGGAGGAGGAGGAGGAGGGAGGAGGAGGGAGGAGGAGGAGGAGGAGGAGGAGGAGGGAGGAGGAGGAGGAGGAGGAGAGGAGGAGGAGGAGGAGGAGGAGGAGGAGGAGGAGGAGGAGAGGAGGAGGAGGAGGAGGAGGAGAGGAGGAGGAGGAGGAGGAGGAGGAGGAGGAGGAGGAGGAGGAGGAGGAGGAGGAGGGGGAGGAGGGGGAGGAGGGGGAGGAGGAGGCGGATCTGCGAACGTCGCTGGCAAACATGTTTTTCTGCAGTTCCCTGCTCCTCCACGCCCTCCCCGGGCGGACCCCGTCGTGGACAAGCATTTCGCGCGCCAGAGGCGTTCCAGCTCCAAGCAAGGTACACCTTAGGCGATGCTTAAGAAAACTTAAGTTTTCGTCCAGAGTCTCGATTATTCTTAATTTTCCAATGTAAATCCTAAGATTTTGATAGAAGTTCTGGGTTTTATTCAATTTCTGAGACTGTGAATTTCTTAACCCATGATTTCTTGAGCATTTCGCAGGATGTATGCCGACGAAGCGACGAAACGCGGTCGACCTCTTGTTGTGGGGGATTTGTTTACGCTCACGCGAACGGCAGAAGAAATTTCTCCTCCGAATCCTCATACGTCCAGTCGACTCGAGGAACAACAGACGGGCGCTGTTATTGCAAATGTTGACGCCGGTTCCTGTGGGCTCTGCCTCGCGGCACACCTTGTTCACATAATTTCCTGGCATGTTGCTAGGCTGCAAGTGCCTGAGCTTCCCTGGACGCCCTCAGCTTGCCAGATTCAGCGCAGCCCCGCCGCTGCTGAGTGTGCCGGCCGACCCGTGTTGCGTCTAGTAGCTAATTAGGCCGCTGCCGTGTCCCGGGGCGCTTCTGACTCCGCCTGCGCTTCCGCTGGCGGACGCGACCGAAAAAGTATCTCCAGCAATTGACACCGCGCGGCTGCCCGCTTGCGGTTGCGAACAAAAGAGTATCCCCGGCAATCGGCTTGCTTGACCCTTGTGACGGCGCGCGGCTCTCCCGCTTGCGCTCGCGAACAACAAGTATCCCCAGCAATCGCCCGTAGCCCGGAATGACCTGTGACGCCGCATGCGCCTTCGCTTGCGGCTGCGACGGAAAAAGTATCCCCAGCAACCCAACCAGAATTGATGCACCAGCGAGTTGTCGCGAGCAGGGGAGCAAGGAAATGACATGTGCGACAAAGAGGCCAAGTACTGTGGACTTGCTACAAGAAGCCTCGTGGAGCCATGCGGGCGAATTGCCAGGGTCCTTGTGACGGCCGTTCGGGCCCCCTGCTGCGGTTCGCTGCAGTGTTGATGGCTCGGACACCGAGCTGCTGCGCGCCCGCACTTGCGTCTCGCAGCATCGACCGAGTCGATACTCTCCGATGGGCTGCTGCATCATGCCCGTGGCGTTTACACCACACATGGTGAGAAGACAACTGTACGGTACACCTCCGCGGCCTGGTGGGTGTTCTCTTTCCGTATGGTGTTGCGCGCTCGACAATTTTATCCGGACATCCCTAGGTTGTTGGGTTGCGGTGCCCTCGTTTGCTACATGGCCGAGTCTTGCTTCCTGAGGGAAAGGCGGACTCGATTGGGGCACCAGTTTCGAACGTCAACCATTCCCGTGCCGCCGTTGCCTTGTCGTTTTCGATTCAGGGATCCTACCGTGCTCGTGTTATTGGTCATCTCTCGATGAAATCCACAGGTCCTTAAACGATGGTGGGAGGATTATCGCGGACGAGGTGTGTAAGGTCATGAGAGAGAAGGGCTTGCGATGGCGAAGATGGTAAACTGCGCGTCGATCTGTAGGAGGTTGCGCAGGCGTCTGGGAAGCGGCGAGCAAGCGGAGGACCTTTGGCGACCATGGGGAATCAGGATGGCTCATAAGAACAGTTGTGTGAACGTTGGACAGTTTTTTGACATAGGGGATTTGGGACGGACGTGAGGAAGGTGGGACGGCCATTGTGAAGTTGGGAATGGCATTGGGAAGTTGGGACGGACATGAGGGAGCTAGGAAAGATGTGGGGAAGGCGCGAGGAAGTTGGGAAGGTCATGGAGGAGTTCACAAGGACATGCAGGGGGAGGTTGTGGACTTAGCCAGACGGGCCCAGAACCATCCGGCCTTAGCCAGACGGCAGCCTTAGCCGGACGCGTCCTGGAGTTCCCCGGCTCTAGCCGGACGGGCTCCAGACCCCGCCTGCAGGCCTTAGGCGGCGCCTGAGCCGGCTCTAGCCGGACGGGCCCGAACCCCCCAGCCTTAGCCAGACGGTCTCTAGAAACATCCACCCTTGGCCGAACGCGCCTCTATAAGCGAAGCACCGCATCTCTTCTTGGCCTCAGCCGGACGGGCCCCAGAGCCCCCCAGGGTTAGCCAGACGTGCCAAGCAGGACGGGCCTTATTCTCCCCCAGACAGGACGGGCCCTGGAGTCCCCCAGTATTTGCCGGACAGGTTTAGCCGCTGCCATAGCCAGGAGCCCCGCCAGTCTGGCCGGAGGGGGTCGGGGGGCCCGTACCCCCCAGACCTTCGCCCAACCCTCCCCGTGGCCACCCGACCTCCCCCATGCCCGTCCAACCAACGTTCCCCCTGTCAACACTGTCCCTCTCAATGATCCAGACCTTGCTCGAATTTACCCATGCCCATCCATCCTCCCCTCAGTGACTCCCCAGCGCCAATGCGCGGGCTCCCTCATGGCCATCCAACCTCCTCCACAGCGAAACACGCCAGTCACTCATAGCGAAGGCACGTGTCCTTAAGGACCTTTGGATCTCATCAGGTTACTCCATGCTGAGCAGCGACACCAACTGTCCCCATACGCATTGAACGGTGACACCAGCTGTCACGCACACAAACACACGCCCATACACACATACACACACCGTGTTATTTCCCCCTGTGGTCTAGGAGGAAAGACACCTTGTCGTCCCAACTCTTTACGTGTGTACGTACTCCTCCTTTGGATCAAGGGGCCCCGTCAGCTTCCACCAGTGCGGAATGTCGGTTCCCGTGCTGGACGCCTGCATGGTTTTGTTTCGCCCGATTCGGCGGTCGAATGGGCTCGGGAATGCAGGCGGGCTACGCGTGAGGCCAAGGCTGAAGGGCTTTGGCCACTGGAGGGCGACTAGCCCAGTCTATGCCGCTTCGGCGGCAGGCGGATTCTCCGCCAGGGGTGGAACTACACGGTGTTTGGGCGATTTCGTGGGGCGTTTTCGTTTCGATGGCGATCTGCGGTAAAGGCGGATCGGAGACAAAACGAGGGAAAAACGAAAACAGAACGAGAACGAACAACACCGTTTAGGTTCAGGGCGGCCGAAGTCTAGGATCCTCTCCCCCCTTGTGGAGGCAACCTCCTGTGTTGGTGCTGGTGCCCAATTCCAGGCCTCCCCCGGATCCGAGCCTCGAGCGGCGAGGTGCCCTCGCCGAGCCTCTTAGCGTCGAGGGGCCCTCCCGCTCCCGTCCTGCGCGCAGTTGGTTTCGGCCCCGGCGCCGGGCGCCCTTCCGCGCCGCGCTCGTGCCTCCGGTGCCAGGAAAAACCGGCCACGGGTGCGAGCTCGATCGCCCCTGCCTTCTTGCTCCCTTCCCCCTTTGTCCGCGTCGGCCTGGCTCTCCGCCCCCCGCCGAGGAGCGGGCTGGAGAGGGGCGCCGAGGGAGGAGGAGGGGGAGGAGGAGGAGGAGGAGGAGGAGAGGGAGGGATGGGGAGGAGGAGGAGGAGGAGGAGGAGGAGGAGGAGGAGGAGGACGAGGAGGACGAGGAGGAGGAGGAGGAGGAGGAGGAGGAGGAGAGGGAGGACAAGGAGACGGAGGAGGAGGGGAGGAGGACGCGGAGGTGGAGGAAGGCCATTGCAAACCCAAGACGCGTCAGCGATGTTGCAATACAAAGTCTTTCCAAGTTGCTTCGTAGGTTCCTATAGCAATTACTCGCATTGCGGGAAGTGCCGAATTGGAAGACAGTCGTCCGAGAATACGCAATCGTGGCAAAACAATGTTCCTGCAACTTCAACGCCGCGGATCAACGCAATTATGGCATCCTGACAAGTCTAAATAGTGCCAGAGACCCAATCCTGGGACCCAGCACCGCGAATGAACGTGACGGTTGCGTCTTGACAATCCTAATTCGCGTCTGAATGCCATTCCTTGGACTTCGACTCTACGAGTCCGTGAAACATCAGCAACCTTTGAAACGAATGTGTGCGGCGCCAAGTGGAGAGCCGCATCTTGAAAAGGAGCCTCCCTCCATCCGTGAAACCGCTGCAAACTTTTAAGACAAATGAGCGCGGCGTCAGGGCGAGTACTACAGTTTGAAACCGACCCAGCCGTCCATCTGTGAAACTGTCGCAGACGTTTGAAACGAATGTGAGCAGCGCTGGGACGAGAGCCAACTTTTGAAAACGATTCGTCCTCCAGCCGGGGAATTGTTGCAAAGTTGCAAGACAAATGTGCGCGGCGTTGAGGCGAGAGCCACATGTTGAAAACGAACAGCCCTCCATCCGCGAAGTTGTCGCAGATGTTAAGCTTCAGTAGTAGGAGTGGCGAGGAGGTCTCAGGCGAAAAACCCGGCCCGCCTTGCGGACACGTCTGAGGCTGCGGCATGGGGTGGATTATCAACAAGGGGAAGGGATGGGACGAGGTGGATGGTAGGGTCTGAAGTAGGAGGTGGGGAGGAAGGTGGAGGGCGGAAGGGGCTTAAGAGTGTGGAACAGGGGGAGGGGAAGAGGTGGCGGGGATGAAGAGGAGACCGTGAGGAGGACGGTCATTTATGGCTGCCTCCCTGCAGGAAGCGTCCGCGTCCGACCAGCAAGGACGGTTGCTGCATCGCCTGGCGAAGGAATATGTTCGACCTGGTCGGTGAACGGGTCTTTAGCTCAGCGTCTTGAAGCCGCGCGGGATTCGCGCCTCAGGTTTCAAGGGAGGCGATCACTCTCCCAAAGGCCAGCTTCAAACTCCGCCATCGCGCCTGTGCGGAAGCGCAGCATGAAGGAGGTTGTGCGCGGGAACAGCGCAATGGCGACCCCGTTGTCTGAATTGGAACGAGTCATGAGCTCGACCTCGTTTCGCCCGCTCGGCAGGAAAGAGTGCGAGTTCACGCCCCGCGTCAGTTCAGCGGTTGGTCTGAATTGGGGAGGATGTGGGTCTTGATTTCTTTGTGGTCCGCGAGGTCGGAAGGAGGTCGAGTTCACGCCCCATTCCAGTTCAGCGATCCGTCCGAACTTGGACGGGTCGTGAACTAGACCTCGTGTTCGTCTTTGGCGGTCGGAAACCCAGACGGGCGAGAACGTCAACATCCTTCAAAAACGTACGGAGCATGAATGACTTCTGCATCCTACGGGTCTGTTGGAAGCCTTTTGGGGGCATCCTTAGGGTTTGGGGGAGCCTCTTGGGTCCCCTTGGGCGTCTGAAGCCTTCGGAGGCCGTCTTGGAGGCCTTTCTGAGCCGTCTTGGTGCTTTCTTCGAGCGCTTTAGGACAGTCGTTGGGCCCTCTCGTGAGCCTCTTGGGCGGCCTTGGTTTCCTTTTGGGCCGACTGGGGGCCGTCTTGGGGGCCTCTCGGGCTGTCTTCGGGCTAGATTGGAGGCCTCTTGGGTAATCTCGGGCGGTCGCAGACCCAAACAAGCAAGAGCTTCAACACTTGTCAAACATCCACGGAGAGTAATATATGATGTTTGGCCTCCTTGGGCTTTCCTGGAGGGCCTCGGAGCCCTCTTGGGCCGCCGTGGCGGCGTCTGAGGCCGTCATGGGGCCGTCTTCGGTGTCTCTTGGGCCACGTTGAGCCGTTGTGCCGTCTTGGCTGTCTTGGAAGCCGTCGAGGAGGTCATATGTGCCGTCTGGAGGCCGAACAGAGCGCAGAGCAAATTCAAGGGGGGGATGTTTGATTGACGCGTGGTGCGAGGGGGGATGGCGGTGGCCTCAGAACGCACACACAGCTCTTCGCAGGTAACAGACGAACATCCTGACACGCTCACTCCTTGCAGGCGCTGTGGCGGACATGTGGCTCGCAGGTCTGAGTGTTTTCTGTCATGGGCATGTACAGCCCGTTTCGAAGATGCGGTGCGTGCGTGTGTGCGTGTTCGTGTGCGTGTGCGTGTGTGTGCGTGTGTGGTAAGTGGTAAGTGGTAAGTGGTAAGTGGTAAGTGGTGTGTGATTTATGTTGTGTGTGTTGTGAGGATTGGCGTCGATTGGCGTCGATCAGCGTCGATTTAGCCTCAGGTAGCATCGGCTAGCGTCGGTTAGCGCCGATTCTTCAGGGTCAGCAAGATAGCATGGAGGCCCCCCATGCGCTGCCACAGAAAAGGGGCAAACGCTTAGCTGGTGGCATTGATCGTGCCCCTCGGCGACCCAACAGCCGAATCTGAAACGCGGGGGCACTAAGAAGATCGAGTACCGGGACAAGCGGGACATCAAGGCCGCGTTTTGCTTTTGTTGCAGTCAGAAGCTACACAACCATATATATAATGAGATATGTAGAAGTATCTTGCGAGGGCGCAGTCTTTTGTCAAGGCTACCCTTGCTATGTTCTTTGATTGCAAACCAGGTGCCTGTGACAAGTCCCGCCACCGTGCCAGCAAGGTATTCCGGCTAGCGACCGTTCGAAGTGGCACGGAAGGCCGTCACGTGTGACACGCCGTGTCCCCAGGCAAGGGGGCGCCGTGATGATGATGATGATGATGATGATGATGATGATGATGAGGATGATGATGGTGGTGATGATGGTGTTGATGACGGTGATCATGAACATGTGGATGATGATAATGGTAATGATGATGATGACGATGATGCTGATGTTGTTGTTGATGACGATGATGATGATGATGATGATGATGATGATGATGATGATGATGATAATGATGATGATGATGCTGGTGTTGATGCTGGTCTTGATGATGATCATGCTGATGATGCTGATGATGACTTTCGACTGCACTGGTTGAGGAGCCCTCATGGACATCGTCTGGGCCGTCTCGTGGCTGTCTTGGCCTTTGGTGAGGCTGCCTTGGGGCCCCTTCGGAGCTCCCTTGGGTCGTGCTGGGGCTCTCCTGGGCCCTTCCTGGGACCCTCGTGGACAGTCTTGGTCGCCTCTTGGGCCTTCTTCGAGCCTTCTTGGGCCCTCTTGGCCTCTTGGGGGCATCTTCGGCTGTCTCAGACTTCTCTTGGGGGCCTCTTGGACAGTCTTAGGACGTCGGAAGCTTGACAAGGCGAGTACCCCCAACACACCCTAGAACCGCCAGAAAAACATTCATGTTTGCCGCTCGAGGCCCTCTTGGGACGGCTCTCTGGTCTGTCCTTGTGACGTCTCGAAGGCCTCTTCGGCCGTCCTGAGGTCATCTTGGGCCAGTGTTGAAGTATCAGCGGGCCGTTTTGGAGCTATCGTTGGCCGTGTCTTGGAGTGATTGTGGCCTCGGGAGTGCGAATCTTCTGTCTGTTGCAAGGCATTCTTGCCTCGGGATGGGGGCTGGTGGATGCAACGAAATGCGACCAGAGGGGGGGGGTCCTTCAGACTCCTTCCAACAGCCCTGCCGGGCAGCACTTGGCATTATAGTACGCCTCAACGTGCCAGGGGGCACGGAGGCGGATATGGTGTTCCCCTTCGCATCAGTGATGACCTTGGCATCTAGTAGGAGCGCTCGATACTTCATCATTGATAGCAGGAGTGGCGCACAGTTTGACACACATGGGGACACATGAGTGACTGTGCTCAGACATTCTGCCACGTTTGGAGGGAGGGCGCAAGAGTTGGGTTTGCCAGTTCAGGTTCGCCAGATCATGTATGGAGATGGTCGCCCACCCCTCTGCAGTCAGACCTACAGTGGGAGCTCAGTGCAGCGCGCAGTCTGAGCAGCAGCAGTGCTGCCATCTGGCTGAGTGCGCTGCATCTCCATTCTTGTCGTCTCCCTCCTGCTTCGAGCGGTTTTGCGACTAAATCTCGGGACTTAGAGCAGCCCCAGAGCTCTTCCGTAGAGGGAACGCGGGCATGTTTAAGGGCTTTGCTCTGCAGTCTCGAGGGACTTGAGCTCGGTGTTCTACTCGGGTTACATTCGGAAGCCTAGTACAGTCAAACCGCATAGTAAGGATGAGTGCCTTCCCAGGGCTACCCTAGCATCTTTCCCCCTTCGGTCCATCCTCTGGCCGCTTTCGCTGCCCCCGCCCCGCTCGCAGAGTGTCGACATGGCCTTCCAAGGCCCTTGCATCCTTCTCGTGCGTCCTTGTTGTACGGGTTGACTTCACTCGAGCTATATTCGGAAGCCTCGCGTCACTCTGCAGCTGTTCTGACGCCTCCCTCCCTTCGCTGCCTTCGCCTGTCCCTTTCTTCCCCGTGCCCACACCCGCCCTCTCGCTCCTCGCGTGTGCTTCTTTCACAGTCTTTCGCTAGAGGGTTCCGATACGGTCGGACCGCGGTATGTAATCGAGATCGGTTCGGGGAGGGTGCCCTGAGGTTCTTCGTGTGTGTTGGGAGGGCGCCTTCAAGTGCTCTTCTGTTTGGCTAGTGGAGGGTCTCATGCTCTTGAAGGATGTTTTTCTGACCTAGGTCTGGCTGTAGTTGTGCAGAAAGGCAACAGGAGATTCTCTTACACTTCATTCACGAATCGTACTCTCGATTCAATGCCTGCTAACGAAGTTGGTCCAGACGGCCACGACCCCTGGTACAACACATACTTCAGATGCGTTTCGCTGGAGGTTTTTCATCGTGTGGCGAGAAAGGTCCACCGGAGAGTCTCGCAAAGGGAAGACGGGGAGCTGGAGACCGCCTGGTCTCGGTCCGGCGCGGTTCGGCGGCGGGTTAGCTGAAATGTTTCCAATGTCTGCAGGAATCGTGCTCTCGCCTCAGTGCCAGCTACACGTTCGGTCCGGACGGTCACGATCCATTTAAGAAATGCATTGAGGTTGACATGGCAGTGCTCTCACCGCTGCAAGGTCTTACTACTGAGAAGAATGGATGACCAAATAATCCCAATTCCGGCGATACTGTTGGTCCAGACGGCCACGACCCTTTGTAAACAAAGACGCTGCGGTCCGCCCCTTGTCCTCCATCATGTACGTGGTGTGTCCACGTGTTTCCGCAAGACGGGTGAATCACTCCGTCTTCGAATGTCAGGGAACGAACAATTACATAAACATGAAAATTGGGAGGTCTGCGCCGATTTCTCGGATCGACCCTTGAGCCCCCTGGCGGCGCCTCCAGCGCCGCCCCATGGCGCGCTCCGCGCGCCACGGAGGGGGTTCCAGCGCCGATCCGAGAAATCGGCGTGGATCTCCGAGTCGTTCTGCTTGTGCCATTGGATTGGGAGTAGCGGGCGCTGATCGAAGAAGCTTTCGCAGTGGATTCGAGGGGCCTCAGGCACGTAGATTGCACACCCGCGCGCACCCTTCCCCCGTCTCTCCTCCCTCCTCTCTTGATCTCTCCTGCTTGCTCCATCTCCCCTCCGCGGGTGCTAGAGAAGCATGAAGAATGTGTGAGGGAGAGGAGTACGAAGAAGGGCAAGAAAGGTGGAGGAGGGGATGAGGACGACAACGACGACGATGACGACGACGACGACGACCCCAGTCACGACATGGTCGTTGAGCAGGCCTCCGACAATTTTTGACCCGCTCTCCCCTGGGACTTGTTCTTTATCTCGGTCCGTCGTAGTCAATATGTTGTTCTTGTTCGGCTCTTACTTGAGCATCGGCGCTGGCCCATCCGCGGTCGAAGACCGTCCTGCCCCGGCCACGTCCCGCGCAATCCGGCTTGGTCTAACATCGCGCTAAGTGGCTCTTCGTCGTTCCCACGACCTCCCAGGATGTAACTTCCAAGGGACGGCGACGACGACGTTGATCCATGCCTGGATCTGACCTTTCGTAGCCGGCGATTTTTATTCCCCCAACCCCCGACTTCTCGGCGAAAAGTAAAGCCGCTCAGAAAAAGAGGCAAACCTTGGGATACACCCCAAGAAGGGGCTATTCGGACGCACCCCAATCGAGGCTGGACGCCCCCCCCTCGTATATTCCCAGGGCGGGCCCCGAGTCTCTGGTCCATCCCAACAGCCCCCCGAAGCCTTGGACAGGGACCGACACGTAGTAATACTAGTAGTAAGAGACGGAGGAGGAGGAGGAGGAGGAGGAGGAGGAGGAGGAGGAGGAGGAGGAGGAGGAGGAGGAGGAGGAGGAGGAGGAGGAGGAGGAGGAGGGAGGAGGAGGAGGAGGAGGAGGAGGAGGAGGAGGAGGAGGAGGAGGAGGAGGAGGAGGGGGAGGGGGGAGGGGGAGGGGAGGGGGAGGGGGAGGGGGGGAGGGGGAGGGGGAGGGGGAGGGGAGGGGGAGGGGGAGGGGGAGGGGGAGGGGGAGGGGGAGGGGGAGGGGGAGGGGGAGGGGGGGAGGGGAGGGGGAGGGGGAGGGGGAGGGGGAGGAGGAGGAGGAGGAGGAGGAGGAGGAGGAGGAGGAGGAGGAGGAGGAGGAGGAGGAGGAGGAGGAGGAGGAGGAGGAGGAGGAGGAGGCGGAGGCGGAGGCGGAGGCGGAGGCGGAGGCGGAGAGCGGAGGCGGAGGCGGAGGCGGAGGCGGAGGCGGAGGCGGAGGCGGAGGCGGAGGCGGAGGCGCGGCGGCGGCGGCGGAGGCGGCGGAGGCGGAGGCGAGGCGGAGGCGCGGCGGAGGCGGCGGCGGCGGCGGAGGAGGCGGAGGCGGAGGCGGAGGCGGAGGAGGCGGAGGCGGAGGCGGAGGAGGAGGAGGCGGAGGAGGAGGAGGAGGAGGAGGAGGAGGAGGAGGAAGAGGAGGAGGAGGAGGAGGAGGAGGAGGAGGAGGTCGGCCCGCTCCGGTCAGAACGTCTGGGTGGATCGGGCCGTGGCAAAACCGCGGGGCGCGCCCCCAGAGGCACGGAGAGGGGCGAGCACCGTCCAAAAGCCCACAAAGCCTTCGGTGTCCTCGAGTCCCCCGATCGACGACGGCGGCGGCGGCGGCGGCGAAGACGGCGACCACGGCGACGGCGACGACGGTTACGGCGACGATCAGCGTCCACGGTCGACGTCGACGATCGACGGCGGCGATCCACAGCGATCCGTAGCGGCGCGCGAGGACTCAGCCGCGCGGAGAGGGGGATAAGGGGGAGGGGGCGAGGCTTCTCAGAAGCACCCCTGCTTCTTTTAGTTTTAGAAGGCGCGGGCCTTGTCTGCAGATGTACGGCCGGCGCCTTCTCTAAGAAGCAGCCCCCTTCTAAGGAGCCGCCCTAAAACGACGCGAAGATCGGGACAAAATCGGATCGGGATAACTCGAAATCTCTGAGAATCGGCGGGTTTGGGGGATGTATTGGGCGCCGCGGCCGCTCCAGAGCGTTCCGGAACGCTCTAAGAGCGCTCCGGAACGCTCTGGAGCGATTTATCCCGATCTTAGCCCTGTTTTACCCCTCTGGTGTGCCGCCGAAGGACCGCATCGCCCTCGCGGTGCTGCTCCGCGTGCGCCTCAACGGGGCGATGCTGTGCGTCGTCAGCACGCACCTGGCGCGCAACCCGGAGGCCAGGCGCCTGCCGCCCGGAAGGCCGCGGCTGGCAGCCCCCCCCCCTCCCTCCAGGGCAGGGCCCCGTCCTCCCCAGAAGGTTTCGAGAGTGCCCGTTCCCCACACGAGGAGGAGGAGGAGGAGGAGGAGGAGGAGGAGGAGGAGGAGGAGGGAGGAGGAGGAGGAGGAGGAGGAGGAGGGGGGAGGAGAGGGCTCAAGGGTTCGGGGGCTCTCGAAGGCTCGGCGTCAGCCCGAGCAAGCTTCCAAGGAGGAGCCGAGGCTCGGAGGTCCTCAGCTTCGTGCGCCTCCCTGCTCGCCCCCCACCCGATGAGGAGGAGGAGGAGGAGGAGGAGGAGGAGGATCAAGCAGTGGCGGCCCACCAGGGAATGTTCCAAGAACTGCCTGTGGCTCGCGCGAGATGTTCTGAGAACATGTGTGGTTGAGACCGTATCGCTTTAACACATGTTCTACGAACATGGCTTTTGAGTTCTGAACAGTCCTTTGTTCTAAGGTCATGTCGTGGTAGGCCTATTGGAGTGTTGGGATGGTCGGTCCCCGCTCAGGAGGGGGGAGGGGGACAAGGCGGCGCCAGAGGACAGAGACGCAGAGGGGGTGGAGGTTGCTATCCAGAGGCGGCCCGAGAAGAAAGGCAAGGTCGTTGTCCCAGGCCCAGAGGAGACGGCCAGGATGAGGCGGCGGCGGAGGCGGAGGAGGCGGAGTCAAGATGGCTGCCGTGAAGGCCTCTATGGACCTGCTCTGAGGGCGCCACTGTGATCCCTACCCGACAGGCTGGGGCGGTCGTATGTCGAGTGGAATGTGTTGCCGACGCGGCCTCGCCTACCCTTCATACCACGGCCGCCAGGCCCCAAGAATCCGAGTATTCCTGGGTATCCCGCCCCGCGTCTACGAGAAATGACGACCACATACCGTGGCCGCCAGGCCCCAATGGGGCCCATGGCGCCCTGGGTATCTCGCCTCGCGCTCGGGTGGGGACTCCTTGAAGCAAGCTCGGCACGATCGACCTGGGCACGGCAAGAGAGGGGACGAAGACTGACAGCAGCTCACGCGAGCTCTGAGCAGGACTCGCTGTCGGTGTCGTCGGGGGTGTGGCTCGCTCGGGACGGTCGCCCGCCTATCGGCCATCGGCGGCCGCCCCCGGTTTGGACAGCGTTTGCTCTGAGGCATCGGACCCATTCGTTCGGTATGCATTTCGGGCGCGCCAAGCAGGGGCCCTCGAGGCAAGGCCCGCTCCTCTTCGGAATTGTTCCTGAGAGTGGTCGTTGGCTCTTGGCGACGTTTCCGTCTCTGGCTGCACCCCAGCAGCTGCGCCTCGCCGAGGGCGAGGGGGGGGCAGGGCCCACCTCGACGAGGCCCATTCGACATCGGCTTCGGCCAACGGATCCGATTCGCTTCCAGTGCTCCGACGATCGGATGCGGCCCAGTGGTTGCCTGGCGCTGTCGCGCGTCCTGGCGCGGCCGCTTCGATTCGATGTCGATTCCGTTTCGATGCTGTCCGATCTGACGCGCATTCCGATTCGATCGGTTTTCCCGCTGGCGGGAGCCCCCTCATGGAGGCCCAGTAGCAAGTGATTCTCCAGGCTCACGCCACATCCGCCGACCCCTTGATTCGTACCGGCGGCTATCGCCGCGTTTCCGCCTTCACTGCTCGTAGCTGCCAGGCGTTACAGTGCAGTGGCAAGTGCCAGAAGAAAAGATTGAGAGGCATGGCAAAGCGCATGGAAAAAAGAACGGAAGAGGAGTAGTCGGAGGTGGAGGAGGAGCAGAGAGGAGGAGGAGGATGAGGAGGATGAGATTGAAGAGGATGAGGAGGTCGAGGATCAGGTTGAGGAGGATGAGGAGGGTGAGGTTGGGGAGGATGGCGAGGGGGAGGGCAGTCTTGGGGCCATCTTGGGCGTGTTCGAACGCTGGTTTGGCTACTCGGGGCCTTCTTGACCGTCTCGGGGGCCCCTTGGTGCGCTCTTGGTTCGTTTTCGGGCCCTTTGCTCCCCCCGGCGGCGTTCGAGCTGGGATCCACCGGAGCCCGGATGACCCCGGCTCGAACGCCTCTGGGCTACTTTGGGGCTGTATTGGAGGCCTCCAGGGCCGTCTGGGAGCGTCGGAAAGCCCAAAAGGCAAATTTGTGAAAAATGTACGTTTCACGAAGGGAACGGGCCAATTTTTGCGCCGAGGGGCCCTCCTGGGGGTCTCTTGGGCAGTCTTGGGACCATCTTGGGCGTGTTCGAACGCTGGTTTGGCTACTCGGGGCCTTCTTGACCGTCTCGGGGGCCCCTTGGTGCGCTCTTGGTTCGTTTTCGGGCCCTTTGCTCCCCCCGGCGGCGTTCGAGCTGGGATCCACCGGAGCCCGGATGACCCCGGCTCGAACGCCTCTGGGCTACCTTGGGGCTGTATTGGAGGCCTCCAGGGCCGTCTGGGAGCGTCGGAAAGCCCAAAAGGCAAATTTGTGAAAAATGTACGTTTCACGAAGGGAACGGGCCAATTTTTGCGCCGAGGGGCCCTCCTGGGACGCATCTTGGAGGCCTCTTGGGGCCTCTTGGGGCCGTCTTGGGCCGTCTGGAGGCGATCGTCGGTGTCTTTGATCGCTCTTCGACCGTCTGTGACCATATTGAGCTCTCTTGGAGGCCACTTGAAGCGCTCCTGGAGCGCTCTTGGGGCCGTCTTCGGGGCCCTCTTGGGCAATCTTGGGCGCCTCTTGGGCTGTCTTGGGGCTCTCTTGGGCTGCCTTGGAGCTTCCCTGGAGGCTGCTTGGACCGTCTTGGGGCGGTATTTAGGGCCTCTTGGGCCGTCTGGGAGCGTCGGAAAGCCCAAAAAGCGAATTCGTGAAAAATGTACGTTTTACGAAGGGAATGGGCCAATTTTTGCGTCTAGGGACCCTCGTGGGACGCATCTTGGAGGCCTCTTGGGGCCTCTTGGGGACCTCTTGGGCCGTCTTGGAGGCCTCTTAGCCCGTCTTTGAGCCATCTTGGGCGTCTTGGAGCGCTCGTTTGGCGTCTCGGGGCTCCCGTGGGCCGTCTTGAAGGCCTCTTGGGGCCATCTTGGCCCGTCTTGAGGCTTCCTGGGGCCCGGAAAAGCCCCGGCGGCGCTCGTCCCGGGCCCCGGCGGCGCTCGTCCCGGGCCCGGGGGGGGGGTCAAATCGCCGGTTTGGGGTCCCGGGGGGGGGACTATAGGGGGGGGAACTATCTCACACGCCTAGAGACCCACAAGGGGTCGGCGGATTCGAGCATCGAGAACGGAGGATCGAGGTCTGAGCACCGAGGATCGAGGCTCGAGGCTCGAGGATCGATGGTCGCGGCTCGAGGATCGATGATGGAGGCTCGAGGATCGATGGCCGAGGCTCGAGGATGGCGCATCGAGAATGGCGGATCGAGGCTCGAGGCTCGCTGGCCGAGGCCCGGGGAGGTCGAGAAGCTCGCGGGTCGAAGAGCGAGGCACAGGGCCGCCCGCAGGAGGCCCACTGAGTGCGAGGCCCGAGGCTCCAGGGCCGAGGGTCGATGCCAACGGCGCCTTTCGTCGGTCCTCCGGGGGCGTCGGGCGTTATAAGATTTTAAGTCAGGCCTGTCCCTCTACAGGGGGAATATTCAAAAGTAGTCAATTATCCCGGCAAAGCAACCTAACAGCGAAGTGTAGGAGCATATTTTGAAGCATTCCCCTTAAGATTCAGATGAGAATCCAGTTGTAGAATTCTGCTGTTCTCGCAGTCGTAGTCGCATTCGCGATGACAGTCGCAGTGGCAACGGCAGTCGCAGTCACAGCCTCAGCCTCAGCCCTACAGGGGGAATGTTCAAAAGTAGTCAAAAAATAGTCTGGGGACAATGTTTGTATTTTTCTTAGCATTCTGGAAGTATTTTTGGGGTATTGTTAGTGTTTTGGGCAAAATCCCCCTATAGGGGGACAGCCCCGACTTAATACAGGATCGGGGAAACGTATGACTTGAGTAAGCTGGATCTCGGGCTTGCCGACGTGTTTTGGCGAGCGCGTCCTGGGCTTTGACGGTCCAGTGTTCGTGGGATGTCTCTGACGGGAGTCCACGTCAAATCTCGGATTGGGTCTCGCCATTTTCATTGATGGCCCCGTCAGGCCCACCCGAGTCCCCCGACCCCGAGTCGACGTCTCCCCGACAAGAGGGCATCGGAGGGGAGGGGCGGGTACTCTCACGATCTGCGTCGGCGTTGTCTGGGAATGCTCCACTGCCCCAAGAGGTCCCAGGGCGGCGCCGGCGCGAGCCGAGGCGACGGGAGAAGGAGATGGGTACACGGAGGAGGAGGAGGAGGAGGAGGAGGAGGAGGAGGAGGAGGAGGAGGAGGAGGGGGATCGTTTGGGTCCCCTGACCCTCCACCTCCTCAGGCGATCGCAAGCATGGATCAAGGGGCGTGGATTAGCGCCGCAACGGGGCGATGCTGTGCGTCGTCAGAACCCGGAGGCCGGGCGCCTGCCGCCCGCGGGCCGCGGCTGGCAGCCCCCCCCCCTCCCTCCAGGGCAGGGCCCCGTCCTCCCCGGAAGGTTTCGAGAGTGCCCGTGCCCCACACGAGGAGGAGGAGGAGGAGGAGGAGGAGGAGGAGGAGGAGGAGGAGGAGGAGTAGGAGAGAGCAGGAGGAGGAGGGGGAGGTGGAGGGAGGAGAGGAGGAGGAGGAGAGGAGGAGGAGGAGAGGAGGGGGAGGAGAGGAGGGGGGAGGAGGAGGAGGAGGAGGAGGGGAAGAGGAGGAGGAGGAGGAGGAGGAGGAGGAGGAGGAGGGAGGAGGGAGGAGGAGGGAGGAGCCTGAGGAGAGGGCTCGAGGGTTTGGGGGCTCTCGAAGGCTCGGCGTCCGCCCGAGCAAGCTTCCCAGGAGGAGCCGAGGCTCGGAGGTCCTCAGCTTCGTGCGCCTCCCTCCTCGCCTCCCCTCATCTTGCTGCCTTCTTCTGGGCCTCTCTTCCTCGTTGATCCTCATCCCTCCTCCTGCTCCTCCCTTCCCCTCCCTCTTCGGTCCTCGTCGTGTTCCTCTTTCTCTTCCTCTTCCTCGTCTTCCTCCCGCTCCTCCCCTGGCCGTCTCCCCCCCTCCTCTGCGCCCTCGCGCAGATGATCGAGCTGGACTACCTGCGCACGCGCCAGCTGCTGCAGCTGGTGGAGACGCTCATGGAGGGGACAATCCTGCCCAATCCTCCTAGTCCTCCTCAATGGCCTTCGGCCCATCCCGCCACCGTGCCTGGATTGTGGGTACACCTCAGGCGATGCTTAAGAAAACCTAAGTTTTCGGCCGGAGTCTCGATTATTCTTAACGTTTCAATGTAAATCCTAAGATTTGAATGGACATTCTGTGTTTTTATTTGAATTCTGAGACTCTCAATTTCTTAACCCATGATTTCTAAAGCATTTCGCAGGGTGTATGAAGCTTGTTGGACGTTCGTTTGGATCTCGTGGCGGCAGTTTGGAAGCCTCTCGGGGGCCTCTTGCAGGCAGTTTGGAGGCCTCCTGCGGGCCGTTTGGGGGCCTCTTGGGGCATCCTTCGGGCCTCTTGGGGTCTCTTGGTGTCCCTTGCAGGCCTCTTGGGAGCCTCTTGGGGCCGCCTGGGCGTCTCTTGGGGACTCCTGGGGGTTCTCTTGGAGCGGAAGGCTCGGATTTTCGGTCCGTGCTCCTTCTCTTGTGCCCCTTTTGGGGCCGTCAGGGGACCCTCTTGGGCAGTCTTGGGCGCCCCTTGGACCGTCTTGGGGCTCTTATGGAGGCCTCTGAGGTAGTTTTGGATTTGTCTTGGGGGCATCTTGGGCCGCTCCATCAAAAACCAAAGGAAGATCATGTTATTGGCCTCTTGAGACCCTCTCTTGGGAGGCCTCTTGGAGGCCCTGGCGGAGTCTTGGAGGCCTCTTGGGCCATCTTGAGGCCATCTTGGGCGTCTTGGACCGATCTTTGGGCGCCTCGGGGCCCTCTTGGGCCCGTCGTGCAGGCCGCTTGGGGCCCTCTTGGTCCGTCTTGTGGCCCTCGTGGGCCCGAACAATTCACGCGCCACCACTTCCCAGATCCCAGGGTCACGCGGGGAGCCCCTTAAAGAGATTTTCAGGAGTGAACATTGGGCCCAGGACCTGAGGACACGCCCACTCCGTGTCCAGCGGCACGGTGGCGGATTCTTCTTCCTTCGAGATATGAGGAGGAGACCCGAGCGGAGGGTTATCGTGATGTTCATAACGGTGGTGATAACATTGATGTCAAAGACGACGACGACGAAAGCGAGGACGATGATGATGAGGAGGATGATGGTGATGATGATGATGATGATGATGATGATGATGATGATGATGATAACGCTCATGTTGATAATATTTGTGGTAACAACAATACAAAGACAACGATGACGACGACGAGAGCGAGGACGATCATGATGATCTTGATGATGGTGATGACGATTTTGATGGTGACGATGATGATGATGGTGATAAGTGTGATGATGATGACGACAACTCTCATGTTGATAATGATGGTGGTAACGGCAATGACAGACGTAGACGACGACGATGACGACCACGACGACGAGAGCGAGGACGACGACGATGATGTGATGGTGTTGGTGATGAAGATGCTGATGATGTTGATTAGCATGGCGAAGATGAAGGAGCTGATGATGAGAATGAGAATAGTCATGATCGTCATGATGATGATGACGATATCGCTATGATGATGCTGATGATGGTGATGACGATTTTGATGATGACGGTGATGATGATGATGGTGATGATAGTGATGATGACGATGATGATGATGACGACAACTCTCATGTTGATAATGATGGTGGTAACGGCAATGACAGACGTCGACGACGACGATGATGACGACCATGACGACGAGAGCGAGGACGACGGCGATGATGATGATGATGATGATGATGATGATGATGATGATGATGATGATGATGATGATGATGATGACGATGTTGATGGTGATAGTGATGGTGATGGTGTTGGTGATGATGACGCTGATGATGTTGATTAGGATCGCGAAGATGAAGAAGCTGTTGGTGATGATATTGATGATCGTGATGATGTTGATTCATCCATCATGGATGATGCATGTTGCATGGTGCATGGTGCATCATGCTGATGTTGATATCAACGCTGATGCTGACGCTCGCATTGGTGTTGGTGTTGATGATGGTGATGGTTGTGATGATGGTGATGGTGGTGACGGTGACGATGATTCTGATGATGTGTTGCATGATGATATTCATTACTGTGATGCCGAGATGGGGTCGAATCAGTTGGGCTCGGTGGATTACGCCGTATCGTTGATGCATCCGCGATGGGGCTCGATTATGAGTCCGGTTCGTTCCACACCCGCATCGGCGATGCGGCGCAACTCCCCGACCACATCTACACGATGCGGGTGCCGTCACCGCGGTTGCAGGATGAGAAACCCCCGACGTCACGCTCTGTTTGCGGCGTGGGCCTCCAGCAATTTTCGGCTCATTCCCCAGGGCTGTCTTTTTCATCTAAGGTTGTGTCTCGACTGCCCCGATCATGCTTTCAATTGTGCGATGCAGCAGGCACGCTTGATGAGAACTTGCCCCGCCAACGCGTGCCCCACAATAGTTTCTAATCTCACGATGGTGCCACAGAGCCCTGGGGACACATTGCGGAACCCAGAGTCGACGCATGATGTGCCCTAGATTTCTTCTGGTAACGAACTCTTCTGTTTGGGGTGCGCTCGGCCCGGTTGAGCGTGCTCCAGTCGAAGGCCTTTCCTCTCGACACCCCGAGTTGGAGTTGTCAGCCCGCACCTCTCACAACCATCCCGCCTGCCCACCCCCCCCGTAGCTTGCAAACGCAATGCGTCGACGATTGCGATGATTGCTCGGTGCTGGCTGGCGCATCGCCGCGGCCGCGCTAGCACGCGCAAGCTCGCACGCGGAGCGGCGAGACAGTTTGGCGCGACCGACGCGGCCGCGGTGGCGCTGGCCGCTGGGGATCTCCCATCGCGTTTCGCAAAATTGCGGTGGCACGCGGGCAATTCAGTGCGAGTTGGTGACTTCGACGTGCGCTGGAGGAGCAACATCAAGCAAACACAAACAAGCAAGCGGAAGCAAGCAAGCGCAAGCGAGCAAAAACAAGCAAGCACGAGCCAGCGACCAAGTGCAATCAAGACAGGGCAAGCAACAGCAAGCAAACGATAGCAAGCACGCGAGAGCAAACAAGCACGAGCACGCAAGGGCAAGCAAGGGCAAACGACTCATTGGAGTCCATGGGAATCCATAGGATTCGCCATTGGAAACATATGGGGGTGTCATTGGAAATAAGGAGGGGGCCATTGGCGAAAGGAAAGGACCGGGGGGCGTCATTGGAAATAAGGGGGGGCATTGGAAAAGGTGCGGGTGCTAAAGACATATGCATGGGCGTAAGCATAGGAGTTAGGAGTTAGGGGGAGGCATCGGCACAGGCATAGCCATAGGAATTATGGGGGGGAGAGGAATTGGGGGGGCAACGAACCAATTAGTAGAGAATGAATTAGAATTCCTAGTGGGCAAGCCTTTATGGAGAACAGAACGCAAGGGCGTTCGAAGGAGTTCGACATACGCGCGCCGGGGGGGGGGGGCGCGTGGATTCCTGTGACGAACATGTCGGATCACCTATTGTTTTGTTCCGAATTCGCAAGAGCGCCTACTTGCGTTTTGGGGGCCCGCGTTGCAAGACCATGGGTGTGCATACGTTGTCGGAAAACGCGGTCTTGAAATCTTTGCGCAACGATGTGTGAAGGGCGTCGGCACGCGCGTGCGACATTGCGTGCGCGTGCAGTTCGTCCAACTCTGTTGCGGCAGGGGTTTTTGGGAATTGATGACGTTTTACCGGCGAGGGCGCGTAATATGATCATGATTTGGCATGGATGGACAGGTTGTCGATAACAGCATTCCGTGGGATGTTCTGGGTCCTAGTCTAAATCGCAGACGGGGCAACGTCGCATGGAAATTCCGGACGTTTCGCGTAACCTCAGGATTGTCGCAATTGACGCCGGCGGCACCGCACTGGCGCGCTTCGGTGAGTCCATGCGCTCCGTACTCAGGCTCTGCAGAGTTGGGGCCCTCGCCCTGCGCTGGTCTCTCACGGTTCCCTCCGCCGCCCCAGCTGTGTGCATGTGGTCGCTGGGAATCCCCCCCGACGTGGTCGCCAGGCTGCGCCTTTTTCCCTCTCCGCGTTGGTGACGTTTCCGCTATCGCTCCCCTTTTGCGATCCAGAACACTTCCGTCGAGCGCCTGCGCGCAAGTTCATCGCCCTCTCCGACCTCCTGGTGGTTTCCGAGTTCGGCGTCATTCTGCTCTTCGCCATCGTGACGCTGCACGTCGACCTGGAACTGTTCTGGCCCCCCCGTGCTTCTGAGCCGCTGCGTAGTTCGCTGCTGCGCGCTCAGTGGGTAATTTAGGCCACTGCTCGTTTGCAATTCCCTGGCGGCGCCCCGCACCCCCGCCCGCTCGCAAACAGAAGAAAAAGTAACCCCACCAGCCCATCCAGAAAGGCTGCCCAGAGGATTTGACTCGATCAGGGAAGCGCGCAGCACGCAGAGGAAGGGTCCCTCGTGGAGCACTCTTGGGCGCTTTTGGGGCCGTCTCGGGGCTCTTTTGGGGGCCTCTTGGAGCGTTTCGGGGAGCCTCCTGGGGCCTCGTCTAGGAGTTTTTTTTTGGAGTGCCTCTTGGAGCCTCCTGGGCGCCTCTTGGGATCCTCTTGTGACGCTCTCGGGGGCTTTGGGGGCGCTTTCGGGGCCGCCTTAGAGGACGTCGATCAAACAAGAGGGGAGCATTAGTTAGCGTTGCCCCTCGGGGGTCCCGAAAGTCGCTTCTTGGGGCGTTCGTGAAGCGCTTCTGGGCGCTCCTGGGTCCGTCTTGGGGCTCTCTTGAGCCTCTCTTGGGCCCTCTTGACCCATTTTGGAGCCATCTCGAGGCCTCGGGTGGCCGCCGGAAGCGAAAAGGCGAGAAAGCTAACATCACTGATGTCCCCAAGGTGTTAGGAGGATTTTGTCCTCTTCGCGGCCTCAAGGGGGAGCTCATTGGCCGCTTGGAGCGGTCTTGGGGCTTCTTGGAGCATCTTGGAACCATCTTGAGGCGTCTTGGGGCGTCTGAAGCCAACTTGGAGGTCATCTTAGGCACTCCCAGGCGCTCTCGGAACCATCTTAATCAGCCCCCCTCCCCCCCCCTCGGAGGCCAAAACGTGGCCAACGTTTTATTTAAATTTGTGATTTTGGCATTCTCGCCGAGGCCTCTTGGAGCGTTTTGGGTGCCTCTGGGGGGCCTCTTGGGGCCTCTTGGGGGTCTATTGGGAGCCTCTTGGGGGCATGGCCCCATCGGGGCTCTTTCGGGGCGCCAATAGGAGCCTCGAGAAACCGGCCAACCCGCGACGTGGTTTGCAAAACTCGCGCGGCGGCGACTGCGATGCATGCTTCGCGTTGGCTGGTGCAGTCGCGCGGCCGCGCTAGCCCGCGCGCGCTCGCGCGCGCAGCGGCCGGCTAGTTTGGCGAGACCGACGCGGCCGCGGTGGCGTTGATCGCTGGGCGCGTCCCAGCGGGCGCGTCAGCGCGAGCCGATGACTCGGACGGGCGCGGCATCATGGCGACGTCGACGAAAGGCGGGCGCGCCGGTTATACTAGCGGCGCTGGTGGCGATGATGACAGCGACATCGGCAGGGCCAATGGCGGCGCCCATGCTGATCACGCCGATGACCGTGGTGGTGTTTTCGCGTCGGTTAAGAAGAGGGGAGCTTTAATTAGCCCTGCCCCTTCAGAAGGCCAAAATGGGGCCAAAACCATAGTAAATTCAATGATTTTGGCTTCCTCGCCGAGGTCGTTTTGGACGCTCTGACCGTTCCCCGCCCTTCCTGTCCAGGTCAGTGGGGAGGGGGTAGGGGGAGGGGTAAACCCATCCCCGAAGGGGAAGAGGGAGGGGTGGAAGAGGAAACGCCCTAAACCACCGACGCCCAGAGGGCTGGTGGGATAAATAAATAAACTTGCGCGATTTTGCGAGTTCGTAGGAAACCATAGGTTTTTCAACATGCCATTGCATTCTACCAAACAGGCCTGTGGCGCCGCATGCCGACATCATTAGCACGCTTTTGCGCGCGTTTTGGGGGGGGGCACGACCCGTGTCTAAAATCACCATGCGGGCCAGTGTCGCGCGTCGGCCGCGCGCGCATGCCGAATTCTTCCCAAACCTTCATCACCGACACGAGGACGCCGTCATCGTCGTCGGCGTGATCAACATCGGCGCTCGAGCTGGCCGCGCCTTCGTCGGTGCGAACATCATCACCAGCACCGCAACGATCACCATCGTGTCTACCGTAGTCGGCGTTGCCATGATACCGCGCCCTCAGCCGCTGACTCGCAGTGAAGTGTTTGTTGGGATGCGCCCAGCGGTCAGCGCCACAGCGGCCGCGTCGGCAGCGCCAAACTAGCTGGTCGCTGCGCGCGCGTACTAGGACTGGCGCGGCCGCGGGGATGCATTAGCCAACGCCGCGCATGCATCTCAATCGCCACCGCACAAGTTTTGCAAACCAAATTGCGGGTGGGTAAGTGGGATGTTTGCAAGAGCGTGGGATGTGTTATTAATGGGTAAAAATCAGTTACACCACGTAGCTTGCACCACATCGATTGGTACATTGTTTGGGGCTCAGTCTGGCTGGTATTTTCTTCGAATCCAGGGCGCCTCTCAACACGAGGCGCCCGGGGGCGGCCGGGCGAGGATTTCGTCCAGGCCCACGGAGCGGTTGACGCTCCAGTCATCGTGGCAGGCTCGGGCGCCCACGCCGCCCGCGCGCGCGCCGCCGGCCGCGTCGCCTTGCCGTCGCCAGTCGGATACCAGTGCCGCCGCCGGACCCAACTCAGCTCGCCTTCCGACGTCGCCGGACCTATCAAGAATCTTGCCTCTTGTTCCTTCTGTCCTTCTTTCCCTCTGTTCGCAGTGCTCCTCGTTTTTGTTTCTCCTCTGCACGCTGGTGTTTCGAAAGGCGGGGCCCCATTCCCCGTTTCCCCCAGCAGAGAAGCTGGCAATCTTCATCATTCGCGCACATGTTTCATGGAAAGAACAAGTGGGAGTTCCGAGGTCCGAGGTCCACGGCTTGGTAGCCGTATTTTCTTTTCTGTTTCGCCGATCGGCGCAGGTCCCCTGCCCCCTGCCCTTCCCAAAGACCAGATTTGGGCTGTTTTGGGCGGCTGCTTTCGGCGGTTTGTCCGGACCCCCCCAAGTTTGCTCGCGCGACTGGTAGAAGCAGATCGAGTTAGCATCGGGGGAGAGGAGACCGCTGTTTCCGAGTTGGCTGGGGGAGGCAAAAAAATGTTGAGCATGTGCAACATGTTTTTTTTTTTGTCCCCACCCCGTCCCCGTGGCACCGCCGCTGGGAGCGTGGACTGCAGCCCTGAGTCTCGAGTCTCTTCTCTCGTGTAGCGCAGGCGTGCTCTGCCAAACAAATTTGCACGGCGTCGGGGCGAGAGTGCCGTTTTTGATAGAGCGTGCGCGGCGCTGAGGCGACAGTGTGATTTTTAGAGGAACGAGGCTCTCAGACCGCCACTTGAGAGTCCCCCGTTCACCCCGATCACGAGGTTGGGAGTGGGGGCTGGGGGTGGGGGGTGGGGGCGGGCTGTGGCGAAGCGAGAAGCACGGAAGAGTCCCACATGGGGGACGGGGAGCCCCGGACCGCCTTGTACGGCGCGAATCCACCATTTGTGCAGGAATCGTGCTCTCGCCTCAATGCTGGCAGACTCAATGAGGCATTGAGCCTGAACGGCCACGATCTTGAGTGAAAGCACGCCGAGGAGCACATGGCCGTACCTCCTCCCAGCCTGAATAGATCCATGTCCGCAGCCTGACGAGGTCCCCCAAGATCGACCCCTCAGGCGGGTGGCGTCGCCGATGGCACAAGCTTGACTGTGCGCACGGGGTGAGAATTGACGTACTCATGTATGCAGTGTGAGCTATGTGGTGTGAGTTGCATGATGCATAGGGTGTGGTACGAGCTCGCGTACTCATGTGGCGCGATCTATGTGGTGTAAGCTACGTTGTGCAATCTATGCGGCAGGAGCTAACGCACTAATCTATTATGTGATGCAGTCGATTGCAACTGATTGGATTGGCTTGCAGTCTATTAGATTTCAGCCACGCGCAGAGGGCTTCTTAGAAGCACCCCTGCTTCTAAGTAAGAAGGCGCGGGCCTTATCTATAGATGTAAGGCCGGCGCCTTCTAAGAAGCAGCCTGCTTCTAAGACGCCCTCCCCCCTCCCTCCACCCCCTTGGGCGCGCCGCCAAGGATTGCAATCGTGCAAGCTACACGGTGCAACATATGTGGCGGCATCTAGGCTTCGCTATCGATTGCAATCGATTGCAGCGCAAGCGATTGCATTGCGGGCGGCGACGGCGGGAACGTAGCCGCCAGACCGGCCCCATGGCCTTAACGACGGGCGGCGACGGGGCGGCGACGGCGGGAACATGGCCGCCAGACCGCCCGCATGGCCCAGACGACGGGCGGTGACGAGGAGGCGACGGTGGGAACATAGCCGCCAGACCGCCCACACGGCCGACTTCTTCAGAAGGCAGGTAAGATGTCAGATCTTTGGTCGGGGTATATTGAGCCCACGAGCGGTACTCGTATGGCCAGCAAGCGCCCAGCGCCGAGCATAGACTCGAAGATTTCTGAGCGCGCGCAGCGCCGCTGGGGGGCGACCAGCACATGGCACACTTTTGTCGGGTGGCCTTCCGCCTTCCCAGACCCCCGACGTCATGCTTCCTTGTCTTCTTTTCCTCATGATGTCGATCCCCAGAGAGCTCGACCCGTTCCCCAGGACCGATGTTCCGTCCCGAGCCGTTGTCCTTCCGCCGTGACTCTCTCGTGACTCGAGGGGGTATCTGGGTTCTGAGAATTGGCAGCGCGCAGAGGGGGGCAGGGGGAGGGGGGAGGCTTCTTAGAAGCCCCCCTGCTTCTCAGAAGGCGCGGGCCGTGCCTGTAGATGTAGGGCCGGCGCCTTCTGAGAAGCAGCCTTCTTCTGAGAAGCCCCCCCCCTCCCCCTGCCCCCTTCTGCGCGCCGCCAAGAGAAACAGCTCGCCCTCGCAGTCGGAAGACCAGCCCCCTCGCGCCAACCCGCCCGCGCGCGCCGCCGAGCGCGGGACCGCGCGGCGCCTCTCCGCCGGGGCGCGCCCGGCCAGGGAGGCCTCGACGCCCAGGGAGCTCCCGGGGCCCTCGCTCGGAGGCGACGACCGGCCGGGGCGTGCAGCCCAGGGGCGGGAGGCCCCCGGGAGGCCCCACGAGGCCCCCAAGGAGGAGGGGGAGGAGGAGGAGGAGGAGGAGGAGGGGGAGGAGGAGGAGGAGGAGGAGGAGGAGGAGGAGGAGGAGGAGGAGGCTCAAAAAGAGGCCCCGAGCGGCCCCCAAGAGGCCCCACACGAGGCCGCGAGCGCGCAGGCCAACGCCTGCGACGGGGCCGCGGGCCGGCGGAGGGAGCGGAGCGACGAAATCGCCCAGGGGCGGGCATTGCGCTCCTCCCTCGGGGAGCCTCGCCGAAGACATGGGCTGTCGGCGCCCCCGGGATTCACGTACTGCCCCCCCCCCCCGACCTCGCCCAGCTTCCGCCCGCGCCGCGTCCGTGCGCCCCCCGTCCTCGCTGCCCCGGGTCCTCTTTCTCTCTCTCTCTCTCTCGCATGCGCTGACGCATCACTCGGACGCCCCCGCGCCCGCCACGCGCCCCGGGGCGCGACGGCCACGCGGCGGTCCCGTTCCGGAAGAGGGGAACAGGGGAAAGAACGATGACATGTAGCACAAAAACTCGGAGGGCCGCGCGGATTTCTCGGATCGGCGCCGGACCCCCCTGCCTGGCGCGCGGAGCGCGCCAGGGGCGGCGCTGGAGGCGCCGCCAGGGGGGTCCAGTGCGGATCCGAGAAATCCGCGCGGACCTCCATGTTCTGTTTCTATAATTGTTCGTTCCCCCATGTTTGGAAAGCGAGGGGGACGGAATCCGTCGTCTTCAGCGTATCTGCCGTTCCGTCGCAGTCGGCGTCGTTGTCTCGCGGCGCTGGCGGCCCAGGGGACCTGAATGCGGCCTCTTTCAACCGCCTCCGGGGCCTGGTCTGCACCATGGCGCTGCTGGACAAGGATAAGGCTCCCAGGCCGAGGTCGTCGCCGTCGCCGTCGACGATTTCATACGACTTCTGTTTTTGTCTAAGGATTTCGAAGGGTTCCGACAGCTTTTGTATGCTGTCAGAGGCTCCCGGAGGTTCCAGAGGCCGCCGTCGTCGCTGTCGTCGTCGTCGCCGTGGCCGCCGCCATCGCAGTCGTCGTGGTCGTCGCCAGTCGAGGTTGGAGAAGCCGGGTCTTTGGGCGTCGGTTGCCTTTGTGGAGCTATGGTGGTTCCGCGAACGGGGCCTGGGTCGAGGCCGTCGCCGTCGTCGCCGTCGCCGTCGCTGTCGTCTGTCCGTCTTCGTCGTCCGTGCGACCAGGAGGCGGCGGAGTAGGAGGACGAGAGGACGGGGAGGCAACCCCAGAACCCCCCGCTCGCGTCGTGGGGGGGATGGCGGCGGAAGGCTTGTGGCAAATTTCGGCCTCTCTGGGCCCCCAGCCTAGGATGCAACTTCTGGGAGGTTAAATTCTGTATCGGCGCTGGTATTCCCGCGGTCGATAACCGGCTGAATCTCGATGAATCCGGCTTAATCTGATGAATTCCGCTTAGGCCCGCCTGATCTGGCTAAATCCCGGGCTTAATCTGGCCTAATCCGGCGAAGTGGCCCGTTAAGCGGGCTTAGTCGCCTTTAATCGTTCGAGCAGAGATTTCTCAGGAGTTGCCTCCTAACTCACCAGGACCCAGGACTGTTCGAGGACGCGCTCACGGCGGTGTAGGCAACGGCAATGTGAGTGTCGTCATCGTAGGTGGGACAGGTTCATGGCCCAGCCAGGTGTAGGACAGCGTGGTCCGTGGTCTCTTACAACGCACTGTGTCATTTTGGCTCGATGCGTTTGCATATCTGGAAGATAGACAGTGTGTACCGTGATGTCTTGCAGTAAATATGTTCTGCCCGAGTTCGGTGTCGCAAATACAATGTTTTAAGCATCGCCTTTAACCAACATCACTATCAGTGTGGCCTTGGACTGTAACAAAAATAGATCGGGATGGAAAAGGCACTGGTTTCAGGAAGGGCTCCAGACCTCTTTGGGGTCCATGTTCTGGAAGAAACAACGTCGTCCAGGGTCTAGGAAGGTTGATGTGGAGGTGGTGGCGGAGGAGGAGGAGGAGGAGCTGGAGAAAAGGGAGGGGGGGTTGGACGGTTGGCCAGGAATTGCTTGGAGGACAAGGGGGAGCAAAGGGCTAAGAGGAGGAGCAAGAGGAGGAGGAGGAGGAGGAAAAGAAATGGGGGAAGGAGGGTGGAGGGGACATGTGTGTGACTATTTGGGGGCGTTCTCTCTCTCTCTCTCTTTCTCCCTCTGGATGGACCGCGCATCTCTCATAGAATCCTACGAAGGGTGGGCCCACCTAACGGATTCCGATCAAGGGTAAAGCCATCCGCATACAAAGTTATGAAGGATGGATTCACCTCTAAGGTCACATTCTTAAGGGGATCTTACCAGATTTGGATCCATCTTTAGTGGGATCTTGTTAGGGATGGAGCCACCTGTAATAGAGGTTGATCCACCTTTTAATAAACATCCCCAATAGAAGTGAAGCCACATCTAATACAACCCCATCATGGATGGTGCCACCTCTAATACGGCCCTGTGAGATTTGGATCCCGCTCGAATGGGATCATATTAGGAATGGGCCCACTTCTAATCGAAACCGATCAGGGGTGAACCCACCTCGAATAGTATTATATTACACGTGGAGCCGATACACCTCTAATGGAATCTTCATCGCGGTGGAGCCACCTTTAACAGAATTCGATCAGGGATAGGGCCACCTGAGGGATGGATCCACCACGGATTGGATCCTAGTGGGGATTGGGCAACCTCGAATAGGGATTGAGCCACCTCTCATATAATCCCAGTGGTGATTCTGCACCATCGAATACAATACCTGTAGGGATTGAGCAATCTCTAGCAGCGTCCTAGTAAGGAGCGGGCCCATATTTTACAATGGCCGTCTTAGGTATGACACCATTTCGAAACATCCGGAAAGGGGTGGGCTCGTTTGTAAGTTGATCCTGCTCAGAACGGCCCCACCTCTAACAGTACCCTAGCAGGGTGTGAGCCACTTTCAATCGAATCAGATTAGGGATGAAGCCACCACGAATGTATTCTGATCAGGGAAGACCCATCTCTGATACAATTAATTTCAAGGCGGGTTCACCTCGAACTGTCTCTCATTAGTTATAAGGCCATCATGGACAAACGATCAATGATGGACCATGGACCCACATGTATCATAATCCTGTTAGCTGTGTGCCCACCTCCAAAGTGATCTGGGTAAACATGGAGCCAAGCGTACAAACAAACACCCGCGAAAGGTGGGCCCACCACCGCTATAATCTTATTAGAAGTGGACCCACCTCCAATAGAGCCCGAGTAGAGATGAAACCGACTGGAAAATAATCCTACTAGGGGGGGATCCACCTCCATCTCAATCACATTGGGAATGGCGCCACCTCCAGTAGACCCCAGGACCCCTGGAGCCACCTGCGACTAGCCACTGCCTTGCCGTGCTGAACCCTGCTGGCGCCTGCTAAGCCTTGCTAGGCCTCGCCAGGCACTGCTCAGCACTGCTCAGCACGGTGGCCATATGCTCAGCCCTGATAAGTCATGCTAGCCACCTGCCAGGCCGCGCCAAGCCTTGATGAACCTCACCAAGCCCTGCTAGCCCCTGATATGTCCTGCTGAGAACTGCCAGTATTTGCTAACACCTTCCAGCCTTGCTAAGTTTTGCCTGCACCTTGATAACCTGCTAAGTCATGTGATGTCTGCTAAACTATGCGGGCCACCTTCAATATAATATGATCAGGGATGAGCCCACTGCTACAATCCTGTTAGATGCGAATACACCTCTTACATCATCAGCTCCGATCAAGGAAGGACTCAGCTCTAATATAATCCCATTATAGCCCATGAGGGGTGGCTCCACTTCTACTGGGGTCCTGGTACGGATGGGGTCACGGGCAATTGAGTTGCATTCATTGTGGAGCCGTCTCTGGCAGGGTCAATTTAGAGGTATGGATCCACTGTATGGATCCACGTTTAATAGAATACCATGAAGGATGGAAACACATGGGGTCCAGTACTGTTAGAGGAGGGTTCACTTCTATGTGAATATTATGGGAAGTGGAGCCACCTCTAACATAATCGTTCCTACGCCCGGCTAAGCCCCTGCTAATCGCTGTTACGCCTGGCCCCGCTGAGCCTTGCGCTGCCTTGCTAAGCCTGGCTGGCCCCTGCTAAGCTCTGCTAGGCCTCGCCAAGCCCTGCTAAGCACGACTGAGCCCTGCTGGCCTTCTGCTAAGCCTTGATAAGTTCTTCTAGCCCCTGCTAGCCCCTGATATGTCCTTCTGAGGCTTGCCAGGTTTTGCTAACACTTTCTAGCCTTGCTAAGATCTGCCAGCACTTAGGTAACCTGCTAAGCCATGCGATGCCTGCTCAGCCATGCGAAACCAAGTTAAATCAAATATCAACCGGGGGATCGATTGCTAATGGAATCCTTGAAGAGGTGGGCCCACCTCTGAAATAAGCTTAGCAAGGATGCAGCAATGTGGAATCAACTCCGGTCAAGGAGCGATACAGCTTTAGTATAACCCCTTAGAAGGTGGAACCACCTCTATTGGGGTCCTGTTACGGACGGAATCACTGGCAATTGACTCGCATTCAATGTGGAACCATCCCTTGTCTAGCCCATTGTATGTGGATCCACAGTCAATAAAATCCCATGAGGGATAGAAGCACGTGGTGTATAATCTTATCAGCTATGGATCTATTGATGCGTGAATCTTATTGGGAATGGAGCCACCTCTTGTAGAATCCGAGTAGAGGTGGATTTATTGCTCATGGGATTCGATTAGATGTGGATGCGATCCACCTTTCAAAGAATGCGATTCAACGCCAAGCCGCCTGCAATATATTCTTTCTAGGGCATGAAGGCACTTCCGCACAATAGAAATCAAGAAGCACATCCCACTCGAGGAGAACATTATCGAAACGACGCACAACGGGCTCGATGTGGAACCCACACAGTAGAAATCAATGTGTAAATCCACAGAAGGAGTCCTATTGTAAAGTCGCGCAGGGAAATTGGATTCGTCATTCACGCAAGAGAAATCGAGTTGTAAATCGCCCACCAAAGAATCCGATTGAAAAGCCGCACAAAAAAAGGCTCTTATTTGCAACCCACACATTAGAAACCAACATGAAAATCGCCCACACAAGGAATCATACTGAGAAACCGCGCAAGAGGATTCTATATAAACCCACATAATAGAAATCAAGTAGCAGATCGCCCACAACGGGCTTGTCTTTTGAAAAGGGACGAAAAATTGCTGGACCTCCCGAGAAAGACAAAACATTGGAAATCCGTCGCCCCTCCCTTTTTCTTGTTTTGTTCGTGCTTGCCCCGCCCCCGACAGGAAAAACATGAGGGGGCTACTTTTTTTTTGGGAGGATTTTTCCGGATGGTCCAACACGTGTTTTGCCCCCCCCCTCTCAAAGAATGTTTTTTTGTGGGCGATTTGCGGTTTGGTTTCTATTGTGTGGATTGCACATATCGTATTTTTGTTGTCGATGTTCAATAGGATTCCTTTTGTGGGTTGTTTACGTGTTGATTTCTATTGTGCGGATTCGAAGTGGAACCCTTACGCGCGGCTTCTCAATAGGAGACCTTTTGTGGCCGATTTGCAACAGGTTCTCTTTTGTGGCGACTTTTCAATCGGTGTCCACTGCAAGGTTAGGTGACGACGAAGAGGATGAGAGGAAAATAACAACACGACCGAGACAACATATCAACATACTTCACGAAAGTGGTTCCTAAATCATCCCAAAACTCCACTGGGGAAGGAGGAGGAGGAGAAGGAGGAGGGAGGACGAGGGTGACGATGAAGAGGAAGAACACAACCTGCAAACAGCAGC